TCTGTCCGAGATTGACCAGATAGGAAAATGTGTGTCCAGATAATCCTGAGAACATTTCCCTGTGATACTTTTCTTAAATTGGGAGCAGGATGGGTAATCATGTTTGGCTGTATCATTAAGCAACCATCAAACAAAGGATTTTCATGCAACTCATTTTATACACCAAACCATGGGCAGAAACAGGAAGAAACTGAGAGGACCTTTTTGCCGATACCATAGATAGAAAAAATCTAATCAGCTGGAGAAGAGATGTTGCAAAAATAAAAGTTACAACCAAGGTTGCATGCTGCCCATAATTTGGATGGAAGGATTAGAATGGCATAGGCAGGCAAAGGTGATCCAGAGAGAAAGAAACCTGGCCCAAACTGTCCTGGTAAATTTTCTTTTTCTACAATTGATTTTCAAACTGAAACATTGGCAAATTGGGGAGCCCCCCTCCCCCCACCGAAAAATGTATTTACGTGAATATTCACTCTTATTCCAATCTTAACAAATCACTTAGGTCCCTTCCTTGCTATTTCTCTTTCCAACTCCCTTCAAATTTACATGAATGAAACTTGCCAGTCAATTAAAAATCCAAATAGGCATGACATAAATTCCAATTGCTGCACTGCCAATCTTAGTTTTGGGAAGATGGCCCTGGAGGGAAAGAAGGAAAAGCAAGGATAAGAGAACTCCCATCTCTGACCAATTTTTTTTCCTAATCTATAGGCCTGAGGGTAGATCTTATCTTTTTATAACTAGTTTTTCTTAAAAAAAATAAACTTTTATAACATTTAACAAATTGAGCCCCCAATAAAACCTACTTCCAGCTACTGGCCAACCACCCAGTGCCTGCTCTACCAATATCCTGGCCCCAATGCCTGGGTAGGGGAGTGGGGAGCCGACATTCTCAGCTTTCTTGAAGGCCAACAGGTTGGAGATCATCTATATCCCCAGGGTGTTCTTTAAGGCATGTACCAAAAAAGGCACATTTAAGAGGCCCCACCATATGACACTGCTTCACTGAAGGGACCTGAAACATAACCATCCCAATAGTTTTAGTAATACAGACAGAAATCTTCAAGAATAGCCAGTTTTGCTAATAACCAGGGCCATGCCATGTAGGGCCTTAATGCTGTCAGACAGCACCTGGCTACTCAGAAGCTTATTGTGAGCCAATGCATCTCAAACAGCAGTGCTGTTACATGGATGCATTGAGGTATACGCAGTTCTACCCATATTGCTGTATTATAGACCAGCTGCAACTTCTGAATACAAGGGCTGCCCCATGTAAAGCACATTACAATAGTCCAATTGGGAGGTGACTCTACAACTTTAGAGTACCCCTCATAGTGTTTCAGTGGGGCAGGTGGCACTGTGGCTTCCTCACACTCCAACTGCCTTCTCGGGATGTCACTGGTTGGCCGGACTATTCTCAGGCATTGTGTCCCCCACCTGGGAAACTACACTATTTGCTGCAGACATCAAGATAGCTAAACACTTAGTGTGCCCTCTCCTTACTCTTTGTTCTGTCCCATTGCCCATTCAGATATCTGGTAATACGATTAACAGAGTTGGAAGGGACCTCGTAAGTCATCTAGTCCAACCCCCCACCCAAGCAGGAGACCCTACACCATTTCTGATAGATGGCAGTCCAGTCTCTCCTTGAAAGCTTTCACTGATAAAGCTCCCACAACTTCTGAAGGAAGCTGTTCCATTTGTTCTCACTGTCAGAAAAAATTTCCTTATTATTAGGCTGAATCTCCTTGATCAGTTTCCATCCATTATTTCTTGTCTGGCCTTCGGGTGCTTTGGAAAATAGCTTGACCCCTTCCTCAGTCCCTCAAATATTAGAACACTGCTATCATGTCTCCCCTGGTCCTTCTCTCTTCATTAGACCAGCCATGCCCAGTTCTTGGTAATCCTGAACCAGAGGCTGCTTCTCTCCTTTTCTTAGCCTCATAACCCAATTCCTGGTCTTTGTTCTTAAATGATCAAGAGTCTCAGATGAAATGGAAGGGTTGGAGAAAACGAGTCTCTGTACCTGACCTAGAGCATGAATTTTTCAATCTCAGATGAGTAAATGTGAACCTCGTGTCTGGGAGAAAAGCCTGACAGTTTGCAATAATATAAATACAAGCTGACTTCACAACAATCTCCTTTAAGCCATTTGCCAACGTCAGCATTCTGGCTTTCTTTTTATCCTAGATCCCACCAAAAGCAGGTTATGTGAAATTCAAAACCATTTTGCACACTAAACCAAAAAATCATGGGTGGGGAATGCTGAGCAAAATAGATTAGTTGCCAAATTGAGGTACATTTCTAAATATTTGGTTTAATGTTTATGTCCTAACATACTCTGAATGTTAACTCTATTGGTGTCATTCCAGGCAAATACCAAGGTTACCAAAATGTGGGGCTTACCCTCTTTCCTGACCCTCTCCTGCACCCATATCGCCATAGTATCCTTTCCTGCAGACCCACTTCTCCGTAAACTGTAGGGCAGCAGACCCCCCCCTCCATAACTGGCACATACAATTTTCCACAATATCTAGGAATGATATTGTCAACTACTCCACAAAGTTGTGGGAGATTTATATTTAAAAACATGGCTTGCAACCACACATTGTCTGCTTAAACAGCCTGAAGAAACCCAACACACATATCACAGAATTCCTGCTTCTCTTGAGCATCAGCCAAATTAAAGGGGAAAATCTAGGATGCTTGCAAAAGCCCCTGCTAAACAGACAAATTTCAGGACTCAGCCTCTTAGGTAGTCTGTGTAATTTGTTATAATGGATAAAATTATTCCAATATTAAATAGATTGGATTATAATTCCAACAATCATAGAGCATGGATATCAGAATTTCTCCCACCTAGGGTGCTACAGTTTTGTTAGTCTTAGGTTTGGACGAAGACAATCTATGAATCTTGTCAAGTATTTTGAAAGTTGCATGGGAGAGGGGTCAAGAGCCTTGTCCAGGATAAAAGTTACGTCTTCTTATACCCACAAGTGTTTTATTCATTGGATCAGTACCTTCTTCTTATCCCTCTTATCCAAACTTAAATCTGATAATTTTAATTTTAATTTATTCACAGAAAACCAGGAGCAGTACAGGAAGGGAATGGAAAGCTGGCCAAGGTCCCCCAGCCTCAATTGTGCAGTCATGAATAAAGGCAGGACAGAACAGCCATTATTTAGCATCAATCATACTTTTTTTTTTTTTTTTTGCACTGCAAAAAGCAATAGAAACACCTGATTGACAGCAAAGGCTTCAGAAAAAAAGTTATGTTTTCGGGTAGAAATACCTGACTGGCTCTTAGTCCTTAGCTCTAGTCTGAGAGTTTCAGCAATATCAGAAACAGCCTCTTGAACCAATCAGAAAAGATGGTGTTATAAGCGAAGCCTCCAAATAACCCCTTCCTCAGAGGTCAGAGAAGGTGCCTCCATAGAACAATAACGAGCAACTTTTAAGGACAGGAATGGGCGAGAGGGGTGTTCATCCAGATGTTGGTCATCTAGATCAGGGGTCCCCAACCACCAGTCCCCGGACCGGGACCGGTCCGTGGATCATTTTTTACCGGGCCGCAAAGCTTGGGCGCCGCCATCTTGTTTCGACGGCGCTTCCGGGTTTTCGGTTGCTTCCGGGTTTTCGGTTGGAAAGCGGCGTTTGGGTGCTCGCGCCTTAGTTTCGTCGAAGAGCGGGGGGGGCTTCGAACAAAGAACCGTCCCGATGGCGGTGGAGTCTCGCGTTACTCAGGTACCGGTCCGTGGAAGAATAAATAATCGAGAAACCGGTCCCTGGCTAAAAAAGGTTGGGGGCCACTGATCTAGATAGTACTAGTTCTAGATTTTGAGATATGAAGGTAGTCCTCGAGTTACAATCACAATTGAGCCCCAAAATTTTGTTGCTAAGTGAGAGAGTTATTAAGTGAGTTTCCCCCCACTTTACAACCTTTCTTTCTGCAATTATTAAGTGAATCACTAGATAAGTATTCCACGTTTTACTCACACCTAGTCCTTCTAGGCAGTGCAGATCGTCCTTGACTTACGACTGCAACTGAGCCCAACATTTCTGTTGCTAAGTGAAACATTTGTTAAGTGAGTTTTGTCCCATTTTACGACCTTTCTTGTTGCAGTTGTTAAATGAATCACTGGACTTGTGAAGTTAGTCACACGGCTGATAATTGAACCTGGCTTCCCCATTGTCTTGTCTTGTTAGAAGGTCGCAAAATGGGGGAATCATTGCAACTGTCATAAATATGAGCCAGCTGCCAAGCATCTGAATTTTGATCACATGACCATGGGGTGTTGCAGTGGTCGTAAGTGTGAAAAATGGTCATTGGTTATTTTTTTCAGTGCCGTTGTAACTTTGAACGGTCACTAAACAAATGAATAATAATAAATAATAAATAAAATAATAAATAAACAAGCTGAGGACTACCTGTACTAGATCTAGATATTGAGCAATATTGGCTGCGGTTGCTGGGGAGATATTTCAGCAGAGGTGGTATTCAGCAAGTTCTCACCAGTTCTGGAGAACCGGTAGCGGAAATTTTAAGTAGTTCGGAGAACCGGCAAATACCACCTCTGGCTGGCCCTGCCCCCATCTATTCTCTGCCTCCCGAGTCCCAGCTGATCGGCTTGGTCTTCTTTTGTTGCCCTGCCCAGGAGAACGGAGCTGGAAAGCAGGTTAGTGGGGTGGGGAGGGAATGGGGATTTTGCAGTAACCTTCCCCTGCCACACCCACCAAGCCATGCCATGTCCACCAAGCTACAGCAGGCCCACCTAGCCATGCCCAGAACCGGTAGTAAATTTTTTTGAATCCCACCACTGTATTTCAGTAATACGCTGGGATGGCTACAGATCTCCCCCCATCCCTGATTCAAAGCCTTTGCCTTCTCACATACAACTATTCAAATTCTTTCCAAGACCTGCTGAATAGCAGCAGGCCATTCCGGAGGAATCAGAGTGAGGGCCAATTTACATTTAATCAAGTCATGCATCTGCTCTCACCAGGTGACGATTGGTCGCTGCTCAAGACCAACGTGGCAGGAGTCGGACGACGCCTTCGGATCTGTAGGTAAAGAGAGATTAATTACAGTAACCGCTTGTAAGGAACTTATTCTAAATGTCCAAAAAAAAAAACAAAAAAAAACCCTCCCCACAGGCAGAAGAGAGGGACTGTTATTTGTCAGCAACTCCGAAGACAGTTCTTTATGGTAGATAGCATGCTAGAGATAGGCAACACTACCAATGTTTTTGTACAGATGTTTTTTTAGACTGTCATTCTCACAAGACACCGTCAATGGTAAACTATGAGAACAGGGAATTTGATTCCGACTGGGAATCTGATGGACGTGTTGAACCGCTATTTCATTATTTCTGTCCATAAAGGCAATATGATAGGAAATAGACACCAAAGATATTTGGACATTTATATTCCCCACCCATTATGCTGGTGACGTTGTTTTCCAACTATTTGACAATGGAATAGAAAAAACTTAATGGTGCCATCATCATCCTGGAGGACCACAAATAGCATGAATAAAATTAACAGAATCATTCGGAGCAAACTAGGTTGAACAAAACAATCCTTTCTCACAAAGGTGAGATTTAATCCTTGGGAACGTGATATTAGCCTTTTGAGATAGTCCAGACGGGAAAGCAATCATGAGTATTTATACTACTTTTATTGTAAAGTTAGTTAGAGTAACAGCAACCTGCAAGTCTGAAAGAACTTTACCTTTCAAAGCTCTAAGGGAGAGTTGCTTCTGAGATGTTTTCTTCACCCTCATCCCTCTTTGGGACTCAAATTTCTCTTATCTGACTATTGCCAGCTGTGATTCTTCCTCCTTTCTCCCAAGGTTATTCTCACAGCCCAACACATTACAATACATTTCCTTTTCAGCACTTCTTCTTAGATTGCAATTACCTCCAAACTCCAGACAGCCCAGCGATGCTGTCACCCTCATACGTCTTAAGGAAGACCCTGTGTTTCAAGTCCTTCTTCCTCTCACTCAGTTCGGCCATGTTGGGGGGTGATGAACCAGGAAGTGTATCAGTTGCTGGCTTTTGAGATAAGACCTCTGACTGAGCTGAAGGAAAAAGTTCTGGATAGAATAGCTAAGAGCTCCCTAATTAAGCAAATTGGGGATGTTGGGCAGTGATGACCATAGCAAGCCATGCTTTCTTCAAAAATAAAGAAATGTTACTTTTTCGTAATTATTTTTTGTCTTAAGAGAATTATTGGAAGAAAGGTGCTGCTAAGAATCCCTCTAACCGGTTTTGAACACAACCCAGTTATGTTAAAGTTGGTCTAGTCTGTGTGTGGCTAGGACCCCCTCCAATATCCTTCAAGGACCAGGGAAAAAACATCTCTTTCGATTCCAACCTGAGAAATCAGTAAGTGTGCTTTGCACTCCTTTCCGATTTTAAGGATGTTCAGCTCGATATTGTTCAATCCGTAACTGCTGCTTTTAGCTGTTGTTTTGAAGCCTCTGGTTTCTAGCCCTTGTGAAGCATTTCGGTTTATTATTGGGTGTGTTGTTTTCTGTATTGGATATACTAAAGTGTTGTTGTTGTTTTTTTAATTAGATAAATAAACAGAGCACTTCATTAACATCAATGGCCCTCCATGGAATATATCCACACATACCCAGCCGTAATTGGAACAGCAGAAATCCTTTTTGATAGTGGCCCCACTTCTACCGTATTTCCAGGGTGACCTTTTTTATATCTCAAACATCTATGCAGATATTTTGATTTGATCTCTTTTTTAGCGCGCTGTGGCTGAGGCGGCGTTGATGCTATGCCCCAAATGTACTACTGGGCTGAAGTGTTTATTGCTTTATTATGTTACTGGTTTGTTTACCGGGTATATTTTTAGCCTCGGCCGTTTCCTTTTTTAGGGAGCTGCTGCACAGACATTCGGTGCAGTCTTACCTTGTGCAACCAAATATCCAAAGGAGGATGGCAGAGGAAGGAGGGGAGGAGGACGACGAAGTCCTTTGCTGCCAAAAAGCCTCACATCTGGGGCGCGTGATCCACAGGCAGGGATGGAATAAAAATATGGGCCACACACGCAATTAATCGATGAAATATTCATAGCTCCAGCTGCCTCCCCCCTCCTCCTATTTCCCACATAGCCACATCTATTTTTCATGCGGCTCTCCACATCTCAACCAGACTAACTGGAGACCTCATGCCAGAAATATAGTTCTCATCCTGCTTTCAGTCTTTCCTCTAGTCCCAATCTTATTGCGGGGGCTGCTGACGGGCTGAAATTGAGGGGAGATCGTTGCCACCCAGGTTTCTCTTGCTGCTGCTTTTTGGGTGGGGAACATAAAGAGCTTCTGTATTCCAACGGAAAGGAGTGCCTCACTTCTCCCATTTTAAAGCTATGGATAGCTTAAGGAGCTATAAGTCAGCGGTGGGAGAACTGTGGCCCCTTTATGACATGTGGACTTCAACTCCCAGAATTCCTGAGCCAGCTGGCTCAGGAATTCTGGGAGTTGAAGTCCACATGTCATAAAAGGGCCATAACTCCCCACTCCTGATCGAAGTCCTCCCAAACACTAGGCTTCAACTGGTTATGAAGTGAACCCCTACACAGAGCAATGATCTTGAGTTCTTCCTGAAAATAAAACCAAAATAAAAAAGGACTGGTAATTACAGTATAAACTACTGGAGTTATATGACCTGCATGTCTTCCAGCCCAAAAGGATCCCTCCCTGTTTGGTCGTGGGAAACTGAACAACAGAAGTCAGGGTGAAATGCATTTTTCTCCCCTCCCTTCTGTGGGTAAGGCAGGTTATCCTTACTACTGGCAAAAAATAGCTATCTGGCACTGGAAAGGTAGCAAAAGAGTAAAATGGCAGCCAATACAGGGGAGAGCTTTTCCATTAAGGATTTCCAGCTGGCAGGAGGTGTGGTTTATTGCCATATTTTTTGGGGGGCGGGAGGGGGACAGTCTCCCCCCACTAGAGGCTCAGCAGCCTCTGTTGTGTAATAACGTTTCGGCAGATTTTGTTTAGGCAGCTGCCGCCTTTGGAGGGATCCCCAGTTGAGAGCTGTTATCCTCATTATTAACACGCAGTGGGGGCGGCTTCCAGCTAGATTATGCTAGCCACTAGAGTCACCCTGGCACAGAGTAGAGCAACTGCTCCTATCTGGAAGAGCCACCCAAAGCCTCCTGGACACTGATCATGCTCCTGTGCAGGGATCTTGCTGGGCTGTACCACCGAATGCCTTAGTTAAAAATGCAGGTATGAATTAAAAATGCCGGCGTTAATTAAAGATAAAGCAAAAAAGAAATACTGTTCTATTTTATTCATTGATTTGATTTGATTTGTCAATCGCTTACAAGATAATAGGTATAAGTATAAATATGAGTAAGAATACAGGAAATAGGTACGAATAAATGGGGACAATAGGACAGGGACGGGAGGCACGGTGGTGCACTTACGCACGCCCCTTACAGACCTCTTATACCCTATTCCTGTCATACTCTATTCCAGGAGTGTCAAACTCAATTTCATGGAGGGGCCACATCAGGGGTGTGTTTGACTTCGGGGGACTGGGAGGGCGTGGCCAGGATGGGCGTGGCCAGGGTGGCCATGACCAGTTCAACATCACTCATCGAGGCTCTGTTTTTGGCTGCGACGGCCTCCGGCAACCCTTTACCAGCAAAAACAGAGCCACGATGGCCTCTCTGGGCTCAATTTTTGTTGGCAGAGAGCTTCCGGAGGCTGTCGCGGCTGAAAATGGATCCAGGGAGGGCCATGCGCAGCCTCTCCGACCTCCATTTTTGCTGGTAGAGGGCTGCAGGAGGCTGTCATGGCCAAAAACAGAGCCCGGGAAGGCCACACATAGCGCTCTTGTACTCTGTTTTCACTGGCAGAGGCACCACAGGCCAGATCTAAGCCCTATTCAGAATTAGGAGAGTCTAAGTCCGTGATGGCTAACCTATGACACGCGTGTCACTTGTGACACGCCGAGGCACTTTGACTGACACACCTGTTGGTGTGGGGAAAACCTGCACATTTAGAGGCTGCCTGTGCTCTGCTCCAATCCCTGCTCCCTGCTTGTTGCGTGGAGGCGTGGTGTCACCGCTGCCGCAAGATCTTTGCAGCAGAGAACCAGTTTTAACCGCCATAAACTGAGGTTTGTCAGTTTCATTACCTCAGCAATGCTACAGGAGGAAAGGAGATCCATGAGGTTCACAGCCCTGTAAGGTGGCCTTCCGATCCCCACATCCTGCACCTGCAGCCCTGAGACCAGGGAGACGAGTTTCACAGCCCTGTGTGATCACCCCAGCCCAGTCCGTCATAAACCAAATTATTGATATTTCTTGAAGTGACACACGACCCGAGGAAGCCTACACTTTTTCCCGATTTTCGACACACCAAGCTGAAAAGGTTAGCCATCACTGGTCTAAGTGAACAAATGCTAGGTGGCCTAGATGTGGAGCTCTCGCATCACAATCAGGAGGCTGTGAGTTCGATCCTAGGTAGAGGCTGATATTTGCTCCTGCTTGAACAGCGGGTTGGACTCAATGACCTCCAAGGTCCCTTCCAACTCTGTTATTCTATAATCTAAATGTCTCATGTTTTTGCAATACAGAGATAGGAGAGCTGTCCCTACTTTATAGGGTTGTTGTCGTAAGGATCTTTTGCATTTAATCTGCTGCTATGCACCATGTTAAGACTGAGACGGGGCACCATAGGGAGAATGAAGGAAAATGCACTCACAAGGACTTTCCTGCCTCTTGATACCTGTCCTGAGCACACCGCTCAAAAAGATTCCCCAAATGATCAGGAACATTTTTGAATAGTGAATGGCTGAATTGTAAGGAGATTGCCAGGAGAGAGAAATATATAAAAAAAATTGAGCACTGGCTTTGCTCTACTCAGATTAGTTCTGATTCAAGCTAGTCTCTGCATAAGGGAAAATACATGGGTGTGGGGGTGGAAATGGAGAAGAATGATTAATTATAGACACACACATCAACAAAGAGGGATTTGAAGAAACCAAACTGTCCTGTTTCGCTGAGATTCTCCATCAACATCCCTCATG